TTATGTCTTGGACACATACTTCAGTTTCCTTAAACTCTTTCTATTAAACATTATACACAGCTATACTATGTGATGGGATGGGGTTATGAGATCTTCAAGCTAGTGCACTCTTGATCCTATAAATCCGTATGGCAGTGGAATACTGTGCAGATGTATCAGCACATGTCCTGGACAAGTACAACTGCAACCTGCAATGACGTGGTTTTCTGGCTTGGGTAAGTTTGTATGGATCCAACTAATCATGCATTGTATTTTCAGTTCTGACACTGACTTGTGCTGGATCAGCAGGTTGTCTCGCCTCCCCTCCCTTGGTTCTACATACATAAACTTTAAAAAAACTTACCTAAATGTGATGCTGAAATCCAATACAAGGACAGCTTTTAAGTTAATTTTATTAACTTGACTGAATCTTGATGACAGGTTGGGTGCTGGAAGTATCAGGAAAATTCTGAAGGTGCAGTTCCCACAAACCCATACAATCACAGACACAAACACCAGTGAAAACTAAAAAAAGAGGCCCCCCTACCAAAATAAAGATAAAAATTATGACTTTTCATTTCACCTTTTGGAGGTCTTTAATTGACATGACTGTTGTTTGCTTTCTTGAGCTGGGGAATAGAGACCTGACAAGAACATTAAATGCACACATGATCTGTCACCTCTGCAGGCTGGTCTTTGCTGTCAACTTACATCTTTCACCTTCTCTCATCATGGATGGTCTATTCAGGGTGGATTAAGGCTCAGATGTTGCTGACTCCATAAAAAAGAAGCAAATATTCTTCAAGTTCCTTGCTTTTAAAGGAATCATTTCCCATTTACTCATCTCAGGGTATTGCCTTTGTAGCTTTAGCAAGGGGAGCATTTCATTGCTCTCACTTTTGCATATCATTTATATTGAGATGTTGTCAGATGTATTTTCAAAGATACAAGAGGCAGAACATGGTGAAACTTCACTACTGAAAAAACATGACCATACCCAGACATTATGGAATTTGAAGCATGTGATTTCTGCTGATGCAAAGGTCACTTCCTAAGCTCTTGCTTTGGTATATGATGATTTTTTTTCCACTTCTTGCTTTTTCTTTCTCTCCCTTTTTTCTTTCCTTCCCCTCCTTCCTCTCCTTTTCTTAGACCTCACTTTCCACTCCCTGATTTTTTATTTAAACACTCATTACACTCTGATGCTTATCTTGGTGTTTAGTCACAGGTGCATGACTTCCCTTTTGCTGCTATCAGTGTAAGTCAATTCCCTCTCCCAGCAATTCTGTGTGGGAATAAACATGATCATTAATCATTTTACAGCTGACAGCCTCCAGGATAATGCCACTGGCTAATAGAATGGTGGTGGTAAGAACTGCAGCAGTTTTCCAGCATTATTAATAGAGTAGCTGAACTTCTTGACTTGTCTTTAATCTCTGCTTACTTTGGTCTGCATCTTAATAATAATTTCCACACCAGACAGGCCAAAAATATTTTGGTCAATGTGATGCTGGTGAGAATACAGCATTAAATTACATGTGTCTTCCTACACAACTGACTTCAGTGAACATTAGAAATGAATGGAAACTCCTACTGCTCTGAATGGGTTTTAGACCATTCCTGTATGCAGAGAGTCCACACCAATTGCCATAATGCCAAATTCTAGCATTTTGACCCCTACTTATATTGCTCACACACTATGTACAGGTAGCACCTCTACAAGTCAGGAGATAATTTTTACACTATGTTCAGCCCATGGCCCACCTGTTGACTTGTGCAATTTATAATTAGCAGCCCTTCTGATGGCAAAGTCTATGGTTTTGATTGATTACAATCACAACCAGACTCACCACTTTGTCCTTTAAGACTGCTGTAGACCTCACCTATGAGGGAATGATCTGACAGGCAGTCACAGCTTTGCCTGCTGAGAACGTGCCAGAACTCCATCTGAGTCATGCTGAAGCAGCTAAGAAGGATCCTTGCTATTAAATGTAACCTACAGTTCTGCTTTACGTATAACGTGTCTCCAGTTTTGTAATTGGAAGCCAGACTATTATGTCCAGTTATAATAAATTTTTACTTTCTCATCTTGCAGGTGAGTTGAAGCTCAGTTGAAGCTAACCCTTATGGAACACATAATCTTTTTGGAGGCAACAAAATTATACGTGAAGAGGGGTGTGTCTACAGGCAGTGCTGAAGGGACTTGCCTCCAAAGCATAGTTAAGGTTAGGTGTCTCCCATCGGAGTCCCCCCTGACAGGCAAAAAGCAGGCAGCAGAGAAACATGTCGTGCTTCTGAGCACTTCCTGCTCTGTGTGATCACAAAACTGTTGGTCAAGAAAATCCCTCCCACAAAGCAGGCAGATGCTGGAGTCCCACTAGTGCCATGCAAAGTACTGTCTGCAAATAAAAAGGAACTGGTTTGGCTGCTATTACTTTTTTATCTCAGCTGAGTCCTTGTGCCCACAGCTAACCCACTCACACTGCACATCTGTTAGCTCTCACACATTCCCCAGCTTTGGGCCCACCACATAAGAATTCAGAAAGCCACTGGGAAATGGGAGAAGCCAGTGGAGCAGCTGAGAGCTTTCTTCCATCTGAGTCAATATTTTAGCTGTATTTAGTATGTTGATTCTTAGAACAGCAGGATCTTGTGAAAGACTCTGTATAAAAAATGGAAGAAAGCAATGTAGTAAAATTATATTTTCAGTTACTTTAAAAAAAAAAAAATCTTGCCTAATTGTACTGTCTGTCTGCTTGTATTTCAGTGAAAAATATGACACCTTCACCAGTGACACCTTCTGCTCCTTCTGTTTCTCCTCCTTTACCCACTTTACTTTGGCATTTGTACAGTAAAAAAACCCAAAAACCTCAAACCAAAATCTTCAGTTTTCCTAGCTTACTGTACAGAGTCAGAATATTCTATGGCAGTACTGAAAATTACTGCGAGTTATTTACAACAATTATTATTTTCTTGCAGTTTGAAATGAAGTATTCCTGAGGCATTGTTTAAAATCTGAAAGGAAAAAGGCATCTTACAACGTCCCTGTCAATCTAGATGTTTTTCTTGATTTCACAGGGTTCTGATAGAGGAGACTCTTAAGCCTTCTAGCCTGCTGAATTTTTTTTTCTGTTAGATAATAGAAAATCCTAGACAACTGATAAGAGGGCAGATATCTGTATTATATGAATTAGTCTGTATATACAATCTTGACAACACAAAAACCCACTTAAAATCAAATCTCTGAAAAGGCAAATAATTTCAGAATTATTTACAGAAAATTAATTTTCCCCTGACAGAAATAATACCTTACTTAATAGAGAAGAGCTATAAAAGGAGACCAAATCACTAGCACACATTCCTTATCACTTTGACTGACTAACTCAAAATTAATTTCTTGCAGAGAAATTCTCTCTGGGAGAGTAGATTATTTGCCTTCCTTTTTTATGGCCTGTGGTACGAAAGCACATTCATAAGCAAGGGATGCCATCGCGGTGCTGTTGTCCTCCTGTGGTTCCTGGTTGCAGAGTAACCTCTCGGGGACAGTTGCAAGCCGGGTGTATCATCGTGGTGGGTCAAGCCATCCTGAAGTGATCAGGAGAAGGCCAACGTGGAACCCACACTCTGAAGAAGCAGCATGAAGTTCTTTACTGCTGGACTACGTTACAGATGTAACCAATTACGTTACAGTGTGACAGGATATAGTTATTCATACCAAAAAAAGCCTCTTTCTTTTTCTGATGGAGTGCAAAGAATTTTTCTTCTCAGTGAAGGAAAACCAGCAGAAATGCAGATACCTCATTAGTCCTGTCCGTGGACATGTATTTTTTGGCTAGTTGAGTCATCAGCAGTAGCGGTCCTCTGCCCTGGAATTGCTCATGGTGCAATTCAGGCAATATAAAAATAAGTTTGGGGAATTCCACCGCACGGTGTTCCCCTGTAAGGAGGAGAGATCTATTTTATTTGCAGCAAACTGCAATGTCAGAGATGCTACAGGAAACGGGCAGTGCTTGAAAATTATCCAGGGTTTGCCAAAGAGAACAGCTACTGTATGCAGTTCGGATGCACACAACCCACATACCTCACATTTTCTATTATGCTCTCCATCTTTTTAATTGCGGAAAGACAGATGGGAGTGGCTATGCTCACCAGAAAACTGTAAACCTCTGTGGGATTCCCTCCCCTCAGGGCTGTCGCGGCAGAGCGATCAACCCATCCAGCTGAAGGGGAGAAGCTCCCTGCTCCGCGGAAGCTCCTCACCGGATCACCTTGCAGACTGAGGCGTTGCTGACTCGTTATGGCGCGCCAGGGAAGGGAATTTTGGGATTGCACAAGACTTACTGTGGGATGTTTAGGCGCAGGACAAAAGCTGGGGAAAGGAAGGGAGAGATTGCGGGGTGGTGGGGAGGAACCAGTGCGGGGCACAGGACAGGGGGACAGAAGGGGCTGGTGACGTGCCAAGCGGTTGCTCGTTAGTACGTTTCTCTGGCCGTGTCCCGCACCTGATCAACTCGGCGCCTCTTGTCTTCACCTGAAACCCCATTTCTGACGATTTTCCCGGGTGAGGGGACTCCCCCTTCCGCCCGCGGGCAGGAGAGGTGTGTGTGGAGGTTTAAGTGCCCGGGGCTAGACCACCAGTCGTAGGGGCTCACGTGTCCGGGATGCCAGCACCTGGAGAGACTGACCGAGGGTCCTGACCCCCTCCCGCCGTCGCCACGCAGACCGACGCCCGCCGCAGCGGAACCCCGGGCGACGGCGGCGCCAGGTCGCCAGCCGGCGCCTATTC